TTTTTTAACCTAAACATACCATTTTAACTCAGATGCAATAATGCAAGTAGAGTCTTCATTATATAAGTTGAACGTTGAGGACCAGAAGGACTGCGACATTCATCTCATACTTTTAAACACAGCGTGAAGACTTCAGAAGTCCTTTACGTTTACTTGCAGCACTGACCTGAGGTAATAAAAAAGAATTAATTCTTCAGTATAGATAATACTAAAAAACAGTATTAGATAAAAGAGAATTTTTGAGTTTTAACCTACACATACCATTTAAACTCAGTTTGCAATCCTGCAACTAGAATCCTCATTACGTTATCTGAATGTTGAGGATCAGAAGGACTGCGTAGTCCATCACATACTTCCAAACATAACGGAAAGTGTTCGGAGTTCCTTTGTGTTCAAATCCAGCTCTGAAGTAAGGTAATGAAATAAAACACATGTTTTAGTATTCATAATACTAAGAAACAATTTCATATAGAATAAAGAATACAAGTTTCAATGCAGACTCACCATGTACTGCATATTTTAATAGCAGTTATGCTTGCTGGGTGACGTATCAGAAATAAAACTTCAAAGGGATTGGCCAGGATCACAGCAACTATAAAAAAAGAAAGACAATCATCATAAAAGATATAAACAATGATATTTAGAATAACAAATTTCATAATAGAAAGAATAAAAGCAGTAGGTGATCTGAAGTAATGCACAAGCCTAAGGTTGTAAATAGATGTCAAACAAGAAACGGCACAAGTTCGGATCAACCTTTCACATAGCAAAATGCCTTTACAATCACAAATATCTATTCTATCATTTTACATTAAGTATACAATACTGTTTAAAATAGTGGTGCACTATAAGCTTTGATTAAAAGTTGTTATCATTGCAGCAGCATACCATGTCAACAGATTTGCATGTCTATCATAATGTAAACAAACAGTACATTAGGTTATGATTCCAAACTTGAAAAAAAAAATTGGTTGGCTCTTTGGTTTGAAGATAAATAATTGCCTCCGGTGCATTTCGAATAATAAGAGAATAATTTAAACTAGGAGGACTAATGTGATCCGAATGCAAAACATTGTTTACACTTCAGAAAGGAGCCTACAGCCTAGAGTACCCAGATAGGCCAGGAAGGTACTGCATGAAAATACGTGTGTAATCAAACTATTTCAGAGTTCTTGCATCACACGGTTTACTGAGTAATACTACGTACCTGTTTTATGAAGTAGGATGTAGAAATTGAAGGAGGTAATATCCGTTTCTTCAAAAATATTCCTTCTCACAAGGCAAGGCCTAAGACTTGACGGTCGGCACGGCAGCAAGATGGCTGACAAGCAGACGAGCGTTCTTGCCCGGCAGAGTAGGCTGGTTTTGCCACCAACATTCCGGCACAGACACGGAACTATTTTTTCGCTGAAGTTTGCATCGGGTATCTCCTGTTTAATGTGTAGAAACGTTTGAATACTTATAAAATGTTTACTTTATAGTCGATAATGATGTGCTGCTGTGACCAAAAGGAGCGAAAAATACACTCGTTTCGCATGTCAGGTTGGTACCTGCGTGGGAGCGCGCACCAGCTCCCTCTGCAAAATATAGCATTCCGGTAAAACTGGAAAGCAGAAGAATGCGGGGAAGAAGAAACCGGAAATCGCTATGCTTTAACATTGTGACTTCCGTTTTCTTGTTCCCTGCATTCTTCTGCATTTCAGCTTTACCGGAATGCTTGCTAAACTGGGACATTTTCTCTAAAATATAGTCAATTTTACTGAAATGATGACAATTCGATGAAAACGACAAAGTTCTGACGAACTTATGACGAGACTTACGTCCAGCCACCGGGTTCACACGCTTATCTAAAGCCGATGTCGACTTACTTTACTTGACTGGTAGTCGGAGTTGAACTCCGAATTTCTGTGCCGCGGTCCCATTACAATGATCAACAGATCTATAAGGGTGGAGAGCCCCGCCGCCAGTGACCCCGAGTCACCCCAGAGCCTCTTGCCGCTCCCTGAGTCAGAAGTGCGGCGGGCCGGGCGGCGGCCGTGGTGCCACTGCAGGGGCGATGAGGGATTTTCCGACCTCATGTCCCACCTGGGTTTTTTCATTTCACCCCACGCCCTGCTGCCTTGCTACTGATCTGACGCGTCAACCCAAACAAGTTGTACAAGTTAAACTACGAGCGGTATACTCCTGGCAGTGTCCCTGCCTTGCCGTCCATCAAATTACAGACAAAATTGTCGAGTTACCTCTGCGCCGTGAAATTACATATATTCCGGGCAAATTTACAGTTTTTCTGTAATATTACCTAAGGCCTGGAAAATTTTTACAAAGTTTCAGTAAAAATATTACCAAGTCTTGTAAATTTACCTCACTTCAATGGGAAAATTACATGATGATGTTAAATATACCATAAGACTTCTGTAAAATTACAAGAATTAGTTACATTTACCATAAGACTTCTGTAAAATTACATTGGTTGTAAATTTACAACAAAACATGTCGTAAAAATGCCAGTGCTTGTAATTTTACATAAAAGTGTTGTAAAGTTTTACATGCTTTTTATGTAAAATCACTAATTTTTTTTAGGGTGCAAAAACACGATCGAATCGACGCCATCTCTCGAATAGCGGCGTAGGAGTAGGGCAGGAATGGGTATGGAGCGGGGGAAGACCAAGTACACTCATGCGTACTCACGTGAGTGCAATACTGGTGTGCAGGAACAAATGTAGTGCTTCAATCCTCGGTGCACTGCGAAATTCTTGGAAAGAACTTTGAAGGACACTTTGTCACACCTGTGATCACACGGTTACATGTGACGCGTGGTTGGATGAACGTGACCGTGGAGCACAACGCCACGTTGTCGAATTTTCTATTTACCCCTCAATTAATACGGTTAGGGAAATAACCAACCATAGCTGCTCTGAAAACTCAAGTGTGTACTTGTCTTGCAGCTTAAAGCATGCAGGGGCTCCTCGGTTTACTTCCACCGCATATGGGTAGTTGCTGTGGAGTACTAATTCCGGCATGTTGATATTCGGAAAGTACTAATCGACCTGAGCAGGATTCACTGTTTGTGGGGGCTGTTGGACGATTGGGCGGTGCAGTGTCACGGCCGAACCACCCACTTGCACATTACATGGTGTTTAACTCAAGTTGCACACTTCCGTGGTGTACAAATTTTAGACGTTTGTTAACGTTCTGAACACTTGGACACGCACAGGTCTATTGCTACCAATAGGAACCATATACTTAGACACCAGAATGTGCCTAAAAAATTCACACCTCAACTTTAATAATCAATTGACGTGCAAATTAATCACTTTCTTTAAAACAGTGAACATAGGCCCGCCTATGTACAAGAGAAATATTCTAGGATCAAATCCTCGATGGCCTTCCAACCTTAATGTACACACTGGGACTGTCAGTACTAATTTTAAATATGTGCCAGGGTGAAAGTACTAATTGAGTACTAAATTTTAGCGTGCAGTACAAATTCCTAGCTGCATTGGGCGGTGCGAGTATTGCGGGTAGCCTATCTTGGAGTTTGCGGGGGCTCCTTTGTTTTTACCGCCGTTTATGCGTTGTTGCCGTGTAGTACTAATTCCGGCATGCCAATATTCGGAAAGTACTAATCGACCCGAGCAGAATGCACTGTGTGTCGGGGCTGTCGGACGATCGGGCGGTGCAGCGTCACACCCGCACCGCCCACTTACAACCTCAATGTACACACTGGCGATGTCAGTACAAATTCTAAATATGTGCTAGGGTGAAAGTACTAATTGAGTACTAAATTTTGGCGCGTAGTACAAATTCCTAGCTGTATTGGGCGGTGGGAGTACTCCTGCTTGCCTACCTTGGAGCCAGCAGGGGCTCCCTTGTTTTTACCGCCAGTTATGAGTTGTTGCCGTGTAGTACTAATTCCGGCATGCCAATATTCGGAAAGTACTAATCGAACCGAGCAGAATGCCCTGTCTGTGGGGGCTGTCGGACGATTGGGCGGTGCAACGTCACGACCGCACCACCCAATATCGATTTCGAATGGCGGCTTTAGTTTGCAAGTACAAATTTCACTAATGGGCCAGGGTGAAAGTACTAATTGAGTACTAAATTTTGGCGTTCAGTACAATTTTCTAGGTGCATTGGGTGGTGCGAGTAATGCGGGTTGCCTACCCTGCAGTTTGCAGGCGCCGTCCAACTTTGACTTCAATTTTTATGGTGTTAAAAGGTAGTACAAATTCTGCCAGGTTGATATTTGAAAAGTACTAATTCTTCCGAACAGAATGCATTGTCTCTCGTTGGGATCGGACAATTGGGTGGTGCAAACGTCGTGCACGCACCGCCCCACATCGTTTTCGGATTGCGCCCACAGTTTGTTAGTACAAATTCTAATATTTGACAGGGTGAGAGTACTAATTGAGTACTAATTCCTGGCGAGTAGTACAATTCCTACCGCCATTGGGTGGTGCCTACTTGACAGAGCTTAAGGAGCTCTCATAGCGCCTGATGGGTAGGCAATATCGTGTCTGCAGTGCATGTGTGTGCTGCGGGATGGCCTAACCCGACTCTCGCAGGCGCCGACCTCTCGTACTTTTACTTACGTCCGAGGCCGTGTGAGCGTAGCTGCACCGCTTCACCTTCCGGAACACGTCGTCGTTCATGGCCTCGCGCATCGCCACCTCGAGGGTCTCCATCTCCTCCTGAGGGATCGAGCTGTACTCCATGCGCCTGCTGCAGAGAGGAAACGGGATAGGATGAGCGGTCTGGTGGGGTCTGGCTCACCGCGCGGTGAGCTGGTGAGTTCACTGGTAAAAAGTGTAAAGGGCGTAAGTCCAATGGGAAGTCCGAGGACTTACGCCCCTTTTCACTTATCACTAGTTAGTTGTGGAGCGCCGACTCACCCGCCCGAGGCCATGGCGCGCTGGTCCTTGCTGCGCCGCACCGACATACGGTTGTTGTCCCTGGCGAGGGGGATGTCGTGCTCCCAGAAGCGGCGGAGGTCGGGGCCGGACGTGTAGGGCGCCGCCACCTCCTTGAGCTGCGGGTGGGACGGGCGTGAGCGGGGGGACGGTTACGGTTGTCTGTCAACAACAACACGGCGACAGTCGCCCGAAGAGCACTCACCTTCAGCACGATCATGGCCGTGATGAAGATGCAGCAGACGTTGACGAGGAACAGGCAGAAGCTGATGATGCCGTTGATGACCAGCTCGTTCGGGAGGTGGTCCGAGTAGACGGGCACGTACGAAGAGACGGTGGAGTTGATGACGTCGCCGACCCGGTACGGGATCTTCATCTTGTCGCCGTAGATGAGCTTGGTGCACGTCAGCCCCCACAGCAGTCCCTGCGCAGCGAGTCGACCGCGCACGTTCGCACCACCACCGACACCCCCCGACGACGGCCCGCCACGCGCGCCGCAGCCGCAACCCCTTTTGGGCCGAAGCGTAAGCCGCGCCGCCGCCGGGCTCGATTCCACTCGTCAAAGTGGGGCTTTAGTTCGCCCCGAGCGTGGTCTCTTGCGGTGTGCGCGCGTGCGTGCGTGTGGCGGCGAGGCCGCGATTACCCGCCGGCGCTGGCTGTTTGTCTCCGGCCCCCGCGTCACGCACGAGGCGACGGAAGGGAGGGAAGGAAGGCCGACTGGCTGTCTTGCGACTGATTTACCCGGTCCCAGTCTGCTGCAGACCTGGCCTTGTCTCGGCTCACAACTCTCCCTCTACACGACAAAACTCCTTCCAGAGTGCTCCCGCCACGAACCTACCACCAAGTAGTTCCCCTCTCCCGCTATCACCCTATTTCGCGAGTCCCGTCCGTCCGTCCCGTCCCGACCCGGAAGGCGTACAAGCGCAGCGCGAGGTCGGCGCGGGGGCGACAGGGCGGCGGAGAGGAAGCGGTCACCTCGCTCTCCTCGCTATCCGTTTTACGGCTTTCTGAAAAGCCGTCTCGGGCGACGGAAGCGATCTGCGGGAGCGGGTCGCGCTAGCGCTAGCACCGCTAGGCGCTGTAAACGGACGGACCCGACCGAGTCGTTGCGGCGGTTCTCTTCTGGCTGGGAAGAGCGTGGTGGTTGGAGGGTGGAGAAAAGGGGGGGGGCATGGCCGTTTTGTGGGAAAGTGACAGTCCTTTCCTTTCGCACTGCTCCAGAGGAAATGATGCGAGAGTGGCGTAAGGCTTGGGACGCTACATTTATGTCCCGGAGGTGAGGAAAAGGCGGGGGGAAGGGGCGGGCGAGAGAATGGAGGGGACGCCAGGCCTTCTAGGTCCAGGACGTTATGAGCGCTGCACCACCCCACCCCACCCCCCGGCCCCTCGCGCACGTGGTGGTCATGCTATGAGATAGGGGCGGGCCCCCCGGCGCCTGAAGTATGCGACGGCCTGGTGGTGCTCCGTCTCCATCGTGCCATCCTAGGAATGCCTTGCAGTGTCGCTTGCAGTGCAGCCGCCCCCTCCTCGCCCTCCCCGGGAGGTCTTTGTGGCCGGACCCGTGACCTTGGCCCCCTGTCCCGTGTCCCCCAGGGTACTCACGCAGTTGACGATGGGCGGTAGCAGCGAGGCGGAGATGGCCACGCCGATGAGTGGGCCCGCCATGCCCTGCAGCAGCGCCAGCGCCACACCCGTGCCCGAGGGCAGCGCCCACAGCACGCCGATCCAGAGAGAGCGGTAGTGGCCGCGCCCCAGCATCTCGTCCGTCGGCCAGTTGCCGCCCGAGCCCCAGGGGTGGTCGGTCGTGCCGACGAGCAGACCGAAGATGAAGCCGAACACGAGCGAGATGGCGGCCCCGGCCAGCAGGCCCTTGACGCCGACCCACTGCAGGCTGCGGTCCGCGATGGCCGTGCCGAACGTCAGCGCCATGACGGGACCCTGGAGCGCAGGCGCAAGGCGGCGTCAGCTGGGCATCGCAAGGAGGCGCTGCAGGTCCTCCCGCTGGAGTGGCGCGCAGCACGGACTCACCATGAGCGGAGAGATGAGCATGGCGGCCACGATGTTCACGGCGCTGCTCTCCATCAGGCCGATGACGGCAACCATGCTGCAAGCACATGGCAGTCATCTGAGCACGAGTCACGGCGGACTCAGCCGGGGGGCAGGCTGGGGCGAGACCGGGAGACTCACTCGGCCGTGAGGATGAGGGTGACGTAGTCGAAGGTCAGGGTGGCTCCGCCGCGAACGCCGTCCACCACCTGCTTGACGGTCAGCTTGGCGCGCACCGAGTCCACGAAGCTGTCCCATGCCTTCTTGTCGGACGGGTCCACCCTGCGAGCATAACGAGCCTCGGTGACAGGGGTCGAGGGTCGGACCGGACGGCCACGGCCACCCAGGGGACCTGGGGGCGAGTTTACTTACTCCTCCTCCTCCTCCTCAGTCTCGAACCCTTGCATGAACACGTTGCATGGCACCACGCTGTACACAAGTAACACGAGTTGCTTTTATCCGTAGAGACAGTTTTATTTTTATAAACTACTTTTCTGGAAGAAAAAGCTTTGAAATAAGACTCGACGGAACGGCGTCGGAGGGCTACAAACGCGGCATCACCTTACGGCAGAGTTGTGTTTCTTGCCTATTTTCAACTCCGTCAGAGAATGGAGACAATTTTCGGTGGCGTCGCCGGATGGGACGGGGAAGAAAACCTGCAAGGAGTAAAATTACAAAAACGGTCGAAAATAAAACGTGAATGAGGAGAAATAAACGTAAGCGGAAAAGGACGCGGGGCGCGCCCTTGCGCCCTGTGCGCCCCACGGCGCAGCCCGCGAGCCCCACCTGGTAATAGAGGCTGTTTTTATCGGCGCACCACACCACGTGCTCTATCTCCAGCTTCTTCAGCAAACCCTCCAGCACCTGCAAACACGAGGAGGAGGGGGGGCGCGTACACCACGATCAGCAGCGCCACGCTGCGCAGCTCTCCGCACGCGCCCGCCGGGGCCTCCGACGGTCCAGAGGGGCCTCGTGACCATAGCCTCAGCCTCCTCCAGGACCGGCTCAAGGCCGCCAGCACTCACCCGCTCCATGGGCACCGTCTCGGGGTTGACCTTGCGGCCGCGGATCTGGACGGGGTCCGTCCGGGCCAGGCCCGGCCCGTCCAGGTTGATGAGCGGGCCCCGGCCGCCGGGGGGCGGCAGCCCGTGCACCAGCTCGTACTCCTTCTCGGCCGTGGGCACGCACACGACAAACAGCATGCCCGCCATGGCGACGACGACCCGCGGTCTCGCGCACCACCTGTTGAACCGCGTCGCTTAAGTCTTCATTCAAGTTTAACATGAGCCCCATAATTCCCATTTATTTTTATCGTCTGCTCCATGGTTTTTCATCATAGCGTTCCTTCCTCATCATCATTTTCCCGAGTTTCGCAATTTCGTTAAGCAAGTTGTTGGAGGGGGGGGGGGGG